CAGGCCCTCCTAGGGGGGGGGTTTCAGACTGTGCTGGAAGGTTCAACTTCATGAGGAAGCTTACCGCCTGGGCCCTCTCTTGCTTTCTCTCTCTCTCCCTCTCTCTCTCTCTCTCTCTCTCTCTCTCTCTCTCTCTCTCTCGCTCGCTCTCTCTCTCTCTCTTTTTGCTTTGCTTTTCTCAGCCCTTATGTCATCATTCACACCTAGCCAGGCTTCCTTCATGGCTGCCTTCCTCGCGGGGGGGGCTTGCTTTTGACTTGCCGTGCCATCCTTCCTTCCTCCTCTTGTTGTTGTGTCATTTTTATATATTTTTTTTTAACAATCAACTTTTATTATTCCACACAAAGGCATACAAGCCTAGGAATACACATGGACGTATGTATTATTCAACTTTTATCAACTTTTTCCTCCGACCAATGCTCCTCTGCAGACTCTCCACATGGATGTGTGGGGCCCGGCCCTCGTCAGTGGGACGGACTAGGAGCGCTACTTCCTGCTGGTCGTTGACGACTACACGCGCTACACCACGGTCTTCCCCTTGCGCAGCAAGGCGGCCGTCAGCAGTGTTTTGATCCCCTGGATCCGCGCTACTCGTCACCAGCTGCGCGAGCGGTTTCGGCGGGACCTTCCTGTCCTGCGTCTGCACTCTGACAGGGGCGGTGGGTTCTATTCTGGCCTCCTTGCGGAGTTATGTCAAGACGAGGGCATCGTCAAGTCGTTCACGCTTCCGGCCTCTCCGCAGAAAAATGGGATTGCTGAGCATCGCATTGGCTTGATCATGGAGGTTGCTCGTACCTCCATGATCCATGCGGCTGCTCCCCATTTTCTGTGGCCGTTTGCGGTCCGATACGCCGCGCATCAGCTCAACCTCTGGCCCCGTGTCTCTTTGCCAGAGACCTCGCCCACACTCCGTTGGACGGGAAAGATTGGCGATGCGTCGACATTTCGGGTCTGGAGCGCGCTCTCCCTTGTTCGCGATACCACCGCGAGCAAGCTCTCTCCTCGCACTCTCCGTTTCGCCTTCCCGGGCTTCCCCACCGACGCCCCGCCATAGGAGTTTTACCACCCTCGCGAGCGTCGCGTGTTCTCCTCCCAGGACGTCACCTTTGACGAGTCGGTCTGTTTCTACAGGCTCCATCCGCAAGCGTCCCACCCGGTCCCCCTGGCGCCTCTCTTCCTGGTACCAGTTCCCCCCCCGGCAGACCCCCTCCCCCCACAGGGTCCTGCTCCCTCAGGTGTGTCTCAGGTAGACCCACCCCCCTTGGTTGAGCCTTTGGAGATCTCTTCTGGCTCCTCTGGCCCGGCTGAGGGGGGTGACCTTGCCGCTGATGACACGGCGGCCACTCGTCGCTCTCCATGCTTGGAGACCCCTCGTGGTTTTCCGCCTCGACTGTCTTCACCACCTCTGCAGCCTGTGGCTGTGGACACTAGTGCTGCTGGGGGTGGTGACACTAAGGGTGAGGATGCAGGAGGTGCTGGTCCTGGGGGTGCTGAGACTGGGGGTGCTGAGACTGGGGGTGCTAGTCCTAGGGGTGAGGGTTCTGGGGGTGCTGAGATTGGGGGTGCTGCGAGTCCTAGTGGTGGAGGGGCCGTGGGTGCTCTTGCTGCAGGTCTCGGTGTTGGACAGCAGCAGCCACCTAGTCGACTCAAAACACCCTCACCCCAGCAGCTTCGTGAGTGGGTCGTTCGGCGAGGCCGATAAGGTGCTGGAGCTTGGAGTTACCTCGATGCTGGAGCTGCTGGTGCTGGAGGTACTACTTGAGCTGCTGGTGCTAGAGATGGTGGTACTAGAGGTACTGGAGGTGTTGGAGCTGCTGGTCTTGGAGGTCCTGGAGCTGCTGGAGCTGCTGGTCCTAGAGGTGCTCGTACTAGAGGTGCTGGAGCTGCCGAAGCTGGTGGTACTGCTGGCGCTGGAGGTACTGGAGCTGGTGGTACTGGAGGTACTGGAGGTGCTGGAGCTGCTGGTCCTGGATGTGCTCGTACTAGACGTGCTGGAGCTACCGGAGCTGGTGGTGCTGCTGGTGCTAGAGGTACTGGAGCTGGTGGTACTGGAGGTACTGGAGCTGCTGGAGCTGGTGGTACTGGAGGTACTGGAGGTGCTGGAGCTGCTGGTCCAGGAGGTGCTCGTACTAGAGCTGCTGGAGCTGCCGGAGCTGGTGGTGCTGCTGGTGCTGGAGGTGCTGGAGGTGCTACTGGAGGTTCTGGAGCTGGAGATACTGCAGGTGCTAGAGCTGCTCACAGTACTGCGCCGAGCCGACCGTTTTTCTACCCGCAGCCGCAGTCGTCCCTGCCACTGCTTGACTCGGCCCTTCACTAGGTTCTTAGTCTCCCGTCTTCCACTGGCCTCACTCCACCTCTCCTGTGTCCACCGACAGACGAGTCTCAGCCACACCTCCAGGAACAGTCTCAGTCACCTCTCTACTGTCTCGCTCCCCGCTGCCCGCTCCTGCTCCTCACACTGAGGTGATTGAGTCTCTGACTGACCGTCGTGAGCCTGAGACTCGTGCTTCCACACTTTTTCGTGCTGGTTGTGTCACTCGTCCTCGTCCTCCTGCTGTCCCAGGCACTCACTTTATGGCACTTCGTCCTTCCTCTGTTCCACAGGGTGTTGCCCTGCCATCTCCTCCGGCGTCCTCTCTTCCTGACGTTCCTGACCCAGAGTCCGACCTTCGTCGTGTTGCCAGTCCTACCGTCACTCGTATACTTGCTACTGTCGTCACCAACCCTACTGCGTTTGCCCTATTCACTGAGCTCATCGACTTTGCTGCTAGGAGTCGTCTCGACGACGTCGCGAGTCTTGCTACTGAGTCTGAGTCTGTCTGTCCTCCGTCCGTCGGAGGTGAGCCTGCCCTTGGCAGTGACGTCCTTAAGGACAGGCAGTTTGAGCTTGAGTGTCTCGCGGCCGCTTTACCTCGTTTCGCATCCATGCTGCTTTGCCCTGAGGGAGACCCGGATGCACTTCACATCCCTACCCCGCGCTCTTACGCTGAGGAGATCGCGGGTGAGTACTCCTCTCAGTGGCAGACAGCCATGGACGCAGAGATGGCTTCCTGGAAGTCCATAGGCACCTACGTCGACGAGGTTCCTCCTTCTTGGGCGAACATAGTCGATGGCATGTGGATTTTCAGAGTGAAGCGGCCGCCGGGTTCTCCGCGTGCCTTCAAGGCACGTTACGTTGCTCGAGGCTTCAGTCAGCGACAGGGGTTGATTACTTTCATACCTTCTCCCCTACCCCGAAGATGACTACTCTTCGGGTGTTGTTGCACGTTGCAGCACAGCGTGATTACGAGCTGCACTCCCTCGACTTCTCCACAGCTTTCTTGCACGGCAGCCTTCACGAGGAGATCTGGCTGCGCCGCCCACCTGGCTTCACTGGGTCGTTTCTTGCGGGTTCCAAGTGGTGCCTCCGGCGACCACCTATACGGTCTTCGTTAGGCGCCCCGTGAGTGGCACGACACACTGAGGACGACACTTGCGGCTCTTGGGTTTGCTCCTTCCTCTACTGACCCGTCGCTGTTTCTATGCACCGACACTACTCTGCTGCCGTTCTACGTTATCGTGTACGTCCACGACTTGATTTTTGCTACTGCTGACACTGAGGCGCTGGCCCTAGTGAAGGCGGAGCTGCAGGAGAGACACACCTGCACTGACCTGGGTGAGTTGCGTAGCTATCTTGGCTTGCAGATCACCCGGGACAAGGCACGGCGTACCATCACCCTGACTCAGTCACACATGGTGCACCAGATCCTTCAGCGCTTCGGCTTCCAGTACTCCTCGCCACAGCCCACTCCTCTGCCTACTAGCCACTCACTCTCAGCTCCACTTTTGGACGAGTCCGTAGAGCCGAGTGGTCCGTATCCGGAGCTTGTGGGTTGCCTCATGTACCTGATGACGTGCACACGACCTGACCTCTTGTACCCTCTCAGCCTTCTGGCTCGCTACGTGGCTCCCGGTAGACACCGAAAGGTGCACTGGGATGCTGCGAGGAGGGTACTGCGTTACTTGTGCAGTACATCGGGCATGGGGCTCGTGCTTGGAGGACAGGGTTCAGTGGTTCTCACGGGACACTCCGACGCTTCTTGGGCCGACAACCATTCGACTCAGCGTTCGTCACAGGGTTACACTTTTTGTGTTGGCTCTGGCTCTGTCTCGTGGAGGTCCACTCGTTCTTCGGTGCTTGGTTCCAGCTGTGAGGCCGAGATCTACGCTGGGGCTACGGCTGCACAGGAGCTACGCTTGCTGACCTACATGCTGACCGACTTGGGGGAGCGGCTTCGTTCTCCTCCAGTTCTGTACGTCGACAACAAGGCCATGCTGGCCTTGTGTCACGAGCAGAGACTGGAGCACAGAACGAAGCACATTGCTCTTCGCTACTTTCTTGCTCGAGAGCTGCAGCAGCGTGGTCAGCTTCGCCTTTCCTACGTGGCCTCTCGGGCCAACACTCCTGATGTCTTCACCAAGGCCCTTGGGTCTGGTGATCAGCAGCGTTTTTGCACAGCTCTCTGCCCGTTCTGCCTCACCTGCTTGACTCTTGATCTTGCTTTTGTTGTACACTGATATCTTTATTAATACCTGCATGTTTACTCTTGCTAGGTTGTGATCAGTGTCCTGCCTTGCTATTATAACTCTGCATGTGAACTGGCCTTGTAGCTGCTTGCTTGTGGTCAGAATGAGTGGTGATCTTGAGATCCACCTTGGGCTTTGCTTTGTTTGCTTTTCTTGACTGGTCTTGTGACCATTTGCTTGCCTTGATCGTTTTTCATGCACCTCACTTAGGCTATGGGGGTGTGTCAAAGTTATATTCACTTTAGTCGGAGTTAATTGCGTTGTAGTGAGACTCGGTAAGGAATAGGAAAGTACCTTACAAGAAAATAGAATAATTGCAATGCGAAAATCGCGTTGATGCGGTATCCAGGGTGACGCGAAGAGAGAATCCTTTCTCGGGGAATTTGCAGGGGGAGTTTTGTCGAGGCTCAGGATTGGGGGGTGATCTGGCAACCATGCCGCCGCGCCCTCTCGCTGCCCTGCGCCATCACCACTGCCCACTTCTGCCTTTCGCGCTCTCGTCGCTCCGGATTCACGTTCAAGCTACACCCGCCGCTCCGCATCTTTCGCTGAGAGCTCTTATTCCGCTGTATCCCGTCCCAGCCTTACCGAGCGGCGTCGCGCACACGCTTGAAACCCGAGCCGCAGCCACGTTGCTGGAACCGCACATCGTGTCGCCATTCCACGCCGTCCAATCGTGCCTCGCTCGCTCGCCCCCGCCGTCGCCGCAACCCCTCGGTCAGCCGCAGCCATGGCGCCATGGCGCGCCACCGCGCTGCCCGCCCCGCCATCCGTTGCCTCCTCCTCTTGTGGCCTCTCCCTTCGTAGGCAGTGCAAATGGACGGCTGCGATCGGTGGCTGCGGGTGAGAGTTGTGTGACCCGGCGTAGTCGCACGAGGAGCTTCGCTCACTGCAGTGCCGGCGGCAGTGACGAACGGAGTGGCGGACAGAACAGCGAGGCGCGATTGGAAGGCGAAGGCTGGGGTGGTAACCACACGGAGCGAGGTGGCAAGGAGGAGGCGCATGCGATGGAGGCGTACCTGCGGCGGTTCGTGGACTACGAGCAGCGTGGCGTGCCCGATGGCGCTGCTGCTGCCGAGGCCGCGGACGAGGCGGGTGCAGGCCTGTCGGAGGGCGGTGCGTGTGCGGGCGAGCCAGGGAGGGCAGGCGGGGAACGGTTCGACCTGCAGCGCATGCATCGGCTGATGGACGCCCTGGGATCGCCCGTGTCGCAGTACAAGGTGGGGGGTGATGGAGGGAGGAAAGGGGCAAGGGGGTAGGGAGGGAGAACGGGTGATGGAAGGGAGGAAGCGAGGGAGGGTAAATTGGTGTGAGATAGAGGACAAGATATGAGGCGGGATGGTGGGAAATGGGGAAGTCGGGATGGTGGGAAATGGGGAATTCGGGATGGTGGGAAATGGGGAATTCGGGATGGTGGGAAATGGGGAAGTCGGGATGGTGGGAAATGGGGAAGTCGGGATGGTGGGAAATGGGGAAGTCGGGATGGTGGGAAATGGGGAAGTCGGGATGGTGGGAAATGGGGAAGTCGGGATGGTGGGAAATGGGGAATTCGGGATGGTGGGAAATGGGGAAGTCGGGATGGTGGGAAATGGGGAAGTCGGGATGGTGGGAAATGGGGAAGTCGGGATGCTGTGAATCCTCATGTGCGCCACTGCACGGAGTGCCGTGCTGCTGTTGCAACGTGGTGCTCACATGCGGTGCATGTGTGAGCATGTGTGAGCATGTGTGTGCATGTGTGTGCATGTGTGAGCATGTGTGTGCATGTGTGAGCATGTGTGTGCATGTGTGAGCATGAGTGAGCATGTGTGAGCATGTGTGTGCATGTGTGTGCATGTGTGAGCATGTGTGTGCATGTGTGAGCATGTGTGTGCATGTGTGAGCATGTGTGTGCATGTGTGAGCATGTGTGTGCATGTGTGAGCATGAGTGAGCATGTGTGTGCATGTGTGAGCATGTGTGTGCATGTGTGAGCATGTGTGTGCATGTGTGTGCATGTGTGAGCATGTGTGTGCATGTGTGTGCATGTGTGAGCATGGCAGGTGGTGCATGTGGCGGGCACCAAGGGCAAGGGTTCCACCGTGCATTTCATCTCCAGCATTCTGCGGGCGGCAGGCCTGGCTGTGGGCACTTACACCAGGTGCTGCACTGCACAGCACTGCACAGCACTGCACTGCACTGCACTGCACAGCACTGCACAGCACAGCACTGCACTGCACTGCACTGCACTGCACGCCAACCACAACTGCCCATCCACCCGCTGCACGCACCTCGCTGTTCTGCACTGCCTCTCTCGCCGCGCTGCCGCCATTCCAGTGCCACTCAACCGTGAACGCCACCACACACCGCCGCTGCTTTCCTCTCACTCCAACCACAACTGCTCCTCTTTCCCCTTTCTCCCCCTCCCGCCTGCCCTGTGCACCTGCACGCCCCCCTCCATGCGGCGCTCATCTGCACTCACCACTGCCTGCCTGCCCCGCCGGTGCGTCCGTGCTGCGGTGGGTGGCGGGGGGCAGTCCGCACGTGGTGAGGCTGAACGAGCGCATCGTGGGCCCGACGGGGCACCCGGCCACCGATGCGCAGCTGGCGGCACTGGTGGCACGGCATGGCAGCACAGTGGACGCCGTGTGGCACGAGGAGAAGCGGCGCGGGGGGGTGCTCTCACACTTTGAGGTGCCAGTCATGTGGGGTGGCAACCCTGTGTGCCCATGTGCCACTACAGCTCCCACAGTTCATCACCCATGTGAATGTCCCTCTCCACTCCATCCTCCATTGCCACTTACTGCTCAAATCGCACACACCTGTAACTCGCCGGGCGTCTCCCCCCTGTGCGTGTGTGGGTGGCAGGTGCTGACGGCGCTGGCGTTGACGTTCTTCGCGGAGCAGAGGGTGCAAGTGGCCGTGGTGGAGGTACTCACGGGTGGGGCTGCATGCATGGGTGCACACATGACCTTGCGGCATGCGAGTGTGATTGGAAGCAGGCAGGGCGGATGCCGGGGTTGGTGCTGTGGGGCCATGAGGGAGGAGTTGCCGCACATGACCTCTCTCACGCAAACGCACCACCCTTCTCCTCTCTTGCCTTGTTCTGATTCCCAACTGAGAGCCGCCACCTGCAAGTATCTGGTATGAGTCTCCACATCGTCGCTGCCTTCCCGCCTCCTCTGCCCCTGCGCTCGTCCCTCGGCGCGTGTGTGGGCAGGTGGGGCTGGGCGGGGTGTGTGACGCCACGAACGTGATCCCTCGTGGCAGCCTGGCAGCAGCGGTGATCACAGCCATCGGCATGGACCACGTGGGCGCGCTGGGGGGGTCGCTGCACAGCATTGTGCGCGCCAAGGCCGGCATCATGCACACCGCCACCCCGGTAACCTCACACAGCTGGGGGGGGTGTGTGCGGGGGCGAGCAACGCAGGGCAGGGTGTATATGTGTCAGGGCGCACGTGAACCAACCTTTATTCCTCAGCCAGCATGTACCTACCACGCTAATGTCTCAACATACTTTAGCAGGACCCTTCCATACTCCACTCCACAAGGCTTCAGCGTGCCACACTTCCAATGTGTTCACAGTGCGTGCAACCCCCGCGCCCCTGCCCCTCAGGTGCTGATCGCCCCCCAGCCTCACCCCACGGTCCTCCCACAGCTGCTCTCACTCGCCCGCCGCCTGCACTGTCCCACCATGCTTGTTGCTTCACCTCACACCAGCAACACCACCGCCAGCAGCAGCCATGGCAGCATGGTGCTGCCTGGTGCTGCCAGCAGCAGCACGCCGACTGAGCTGCCCCCCTCTTGTGGTGGCGAGGGCAGGGCGGGCGACTGCAGTGAGAGCAGGCAGGGGACGCAGGGGGCACTTGGCCCTGCACACGCGGAGGGGGTGGTGGCAGAGGGGGAGCAGTGTGGGGACAACAGCGGGGAACAGCAGGCACAGGGAGTGGTGCGGGCAGGTGTGGAGTGGTGGGTGAAGGGTGTGGACACGGTTGGTGGCACGCAGGGCGGGCAGGAGGGGCGTGAGAGCGAGGGTGGTGGGCGGCGCGTGGCATGCGTGGTTGACTTCACAGTGGACATGGCATTGCTCTCTGGCCACCCACACGCCCCCAAGGTGCGTGCCTTGCTGCACGTGTGCTAGGGGCATAAGTCAGGCGCCATTGTGGCACAGGGACTTCGTATTACACGAGACGGTCTTAAGCTATGAGGTCTTACAGCATGTTGTACCACCATCATGCCTCTGTTGCCATCCGTCTGTTCCACTGCCCCCAACCGCCCTGCCGCCCCTCTTCCTGTGCATGAGAGCAGGAGCAGCTGAGGGGTGTGCGGGTGGGCATGGTGGGTGCGCACCAGGCCGCCAATGCCGCCACAGCGGTGGGCACGGCGCTGCTGCTGCGCTACACATTGGGCGCCATGGGCAGTGCCATCACACCCACCGCTGTGCGCCATGGGCTGCTGTGCACGCCACTGCCAGGCCGCTTCCAGGTGCTGCCTGCGGCGCAGGTGTGCGCTCTCCGGCGCTCTGTGCTGGGGGGCACAGGCGAGGGGGGGGGTGCGGGTGCGCTGGCGGAAAGCTGCAATGGCGTGCATGGGGAGGGGCACGGGGAGGGGCACGGGGAGGGGCACGGTGAGGGGCACGGTGAGGGTTGGGGAGCGCAGCAGGAAGGAGGTGGATGGGGGGATGGCGGAGAGGGGAAGGCGGGAGAGGAAGGGCAGGGAGGAGGGGAGGGGGGGTGTGGCGGAGGGCGAGGGAGCGAAGAGGGGGAGGCGGAGGTGATTGTGGTTCTCGATGGAGGTGTGCTGTTCCCTGCCCTGCTTCTCCTCTCCTTGCTGCCTCCTCTATCACTCACCTTTCGCAGTACCACTGCACTTCATTCTTTCCAGCTCTCTCCTTGCACGCCCCGAGGACTCTCCATCTCCATCCAGCCGGCCTTGTCCCAGCTCAATTCGCTCTCACTCCCCTCGGACCCCATGCATGTGTGCAGCGCACACGGGTGACTCTGCCGCAGCACTGGCCAGCACGCTGCTGGAAGTCTTTGGCGCGCCTGCCACCATGCCCTCTCCTTCTGCCACCGACCCCATGCTCTCTGCTGCTGGGGACGCCAGCGCCGGAGAGGATGGGCACGCGGGAGTTGGCCAGGGCGGGGGCTGCGAGGACGGGGTGAATGGCGGTGGCATGGGAGGGAGCAGTGCAGATGGGGGTGTGCAGTATGTGTTTGTGATTGCCATGGCCGCCGACAAGCAACACCACGACTTCTGCTCTGCACTCTTCTCAGGTCGGGCGTTGTTGTTTATTTGCACCCACTCGCCCTCCGTCTTGTCTCTTGTGCGGCTTATCTTCCGAGGTTGCTCTGTTGCATAGAGCTGTCGAGCTCACCTTCGCTCACCGGTCCATATCCAGGTCGTCGAGCTGTCCTGTCAGCAGCAAGCATGCACATGCATTCCCCATGCTTCGTCCCGTACCAACACGTCTTGCCTGCCCCCCCTTCCCAACACATCCCTCACGACACCTTCTGCCCCTCTCCTGCTTCTTCCACGGGCAGCCATCCCACCAGCAGCAGTGGTGTGCACGTGTGTGCCCATCGCAGCGGCATCGCAGCGGACCATGGCCCCCGCCACACTGCTCTCCATTGCACAGAGCCACCTGCCATCCACGCCCCCTGTCCCTGGGGAGCTCACACTGCCACGCTTCGCTGCGCTGCCTGATCTCCGCTCTGCGCTCGCAGCCGCCCTTGCCTTCTCCACCACAGGGGAAAGAGAGCGCGAACGCAAGACACAGGGGGCTTGGGGTATTGTTGGGCAAAGAGGGAAGCATTTTGTGGGTAGACGGAGGAAGGAGAGAATGGTGTTGTGTGTGACAGGGTCTTTGCATGCAGTGGGTGCTACGTTGAGCCTACTACACACTTGACTTTATAGAAGAAACACCGTCATACCCCAGATATAAGCGCAGGTGCACTTATAATGAAACGTCCAAAAATGGGGAAGGGGAAGGGGTTCGGTTCGCTTTAGATGAGGTAAAGTCTATGAAGTGCATGGGACGATTTGATGGCACATGTAGATTTGACTCTTGAATCTTATTTCGTTGCAGTCAACATTACGGACGCGACCAGGTTGACAGAACTAAGGGGCAAGAATGACTTCACTATGATGAAGCAAAAGTACAAGTAGAGAAACCCTAAAAGGCTTGTACTCTATATAAGCTACCCCACTACATTCTACAGTCATACAAACACAGGCAAAGTGGGGGATAGCAAACACAACAAACAGTCACAAGACCAGTCAAGCAAGAGAACAAAACAAAACAAAGCTCAGGGTGGTGTCAGAACATTATAGCTTATACATTTGTGTAGGCTGTAGTGGGGTAGCCCATAAGGGGAACAACCCAATTAGGGTTAGTACTTGTACCCAACTGTTTGCTAGTTCATTCATTCTCGTTCGTTATTTTGACATGGAATCAGAGCAGGTTCCTTGGGTCCACCACCTGCTACGCTGCTAGTACCCCCCCCCCCCCCCCCCCCCCCCAAGGCCCGTAGCTCCTAGCCTACGCGGCCAGTCGACCCCTAGCCCCGCGCCCGGCCCCGTTCCTAGCCCGCCCCCGGCCCCGTCGGCCCTTAGCCCCGCGCCCGGCCCCGTACCTAGCCTGCGCCCGGCCCGTACCTAGCCCGCGACCGGCCCGTACCCTCGCCAGCGCCCGGCCCCGTACCTCGCCCGCGCCCGGCCCGTACCTAGCCTGCGACTGGCTCGTACCTAGCCCGCGCCCGGCCCCGTCTCTCGCCCGCGCCCGGCCCCGTACCTAGCCCGCGCCCGGCCCGTCCCTAGCCCGCGATCGGCCCGTACCTAGCCCGCGACTGGCCCGTACCCTCGCCAGCGCCCGGCCCCATACCACGCCCGCGCCCAGCCCGTACCTAGCCCGTGCCCGGCCCGTCCCTAGCCCGCGACCAGCCCGTACCTAGCCTGCGCCCGGCCCCGTCCCTCGCCAGCGCCCGGCCTCGTACCTCGCCCGCGCCCGGCCCGTACCTAGCCCGTGCCCCGCCCGTACCTAGCCCGCGCCTGGCCCCATACCTAGCCCGCGCCCGGCCCGTACCTAGCCCGCGCCCGGCCCGTACCTAGACCGCGCTTGGCCCCGTCCTCGCCCAGCGCCCGGCCCCGTACCTAGCCCGCGCCCGGCCCGTACCTAGCCCAGCGCCCGGCCCCATACCTAGCCCGCGCCAGGCCCTGTTCCTAGCCCAGCGCCCGGCCCCGTACCTAGCCCGCGCCCGGCCCCGTCCCTAGCCCAGCGCCCGGCCCCATCCCTAGCCTGCGCCCGGCCCCGCACCTAGCCTGTGTGAAGAATTAAACAAGAATGAATGAACTAGGAAAGTGTGAGATACAAATATAAAACCTGTACCCCTTAGTGTCTAAGGTAGTGGGGTAGACACTAAGGCATATACATTTGACACACCCCCATAGGCAAAGTGGGGGAGAACTAGGGGTCACAAAACCAGTCAAGCAAAGCAAAGCAAAGCAAGCTCAGGCTGGATCACAACGTCACCACACAGTCTGAGCACCGGTTCAAAGGCCACAAGGCCAGTTCACATGCAAGTTCATATATATAAAGGTAAACAAGCAAGTGCAGGTATATATAGATCACAATACAAGGAAAGTCAAGAGGTAAGCAAGTGAGGCCAAGTAGGCACAAGACCTAGCATAGTACAGAAGCGCTGATGATCACAAGGCTGAAGTGCCTTGGTAAAGATATCAGCAGTGTTGGCCTGAGAGGCCACGTAAGCATGGCGCAGCTGACCACGCTGCTGCAGCTCACGAGCAAGGAAGTAGCGAAGAGCAATGTGCTTCGTTCTGTGCTCCAGCCTGTGCTCCCGACACAAGGCCAGCATAGCCTTGTTGTCTACGTACAGAACTGGAGGAGAACGAGGCGGCTCTCCCAGGTCAGTTAGCAAGTAGGTGAGCCAGCGTAACTCCTGTGCAGCCATGGCCCCTGCGTAGATCTCAGCCTCACAGCTGGAGCTGAGAACAGAAGACGAGCGAGTAGACCACCACGAAACAGAGCCGGAACCAAGGCTGAAGGTGTAACCCTGTGAGGACCGCTGAGTAGCCAGGTCGTCAACCCAAGACGCGTCTGCGTGACCAGTGAGGACCACTGGACTCCGCCCTCCAAGCACTAGCCCCAAGCCCGAAGTACTGCACAAGTAGCGCAACACCCTCTTCGCTGCAGCCATGTGCTCTGGTCGGTGTCTCCCAGGAGCAACATAGCGTGCCAAGATGCTCAGAGGGTATGCTAGGTCAGGTCGAGTGCAGGTCATCAGGTACATGAGGCAGCCAACAAGCTCTGGGTACGGGCCACTCGGCTCTACGGACTCATCCGAAGGCAGAGCTGAGAGCGAGTGGCGAGTAGACAGAGGAGTGGCCTGAGGCGAGGAGTATGTGAAGTCGAAGCGCTGAAGGACCTGCTGCACCATGTGTGACTGAGTCAGAGTAATGGTGCGCCGTGCTCTGTCCCGGGTGATCTGCAAGCCAAGATAGCTGCGCAGTTCACCCAGGTCTGTGCACGTGTGTCTCTTCTGCAGCTCGGACTTCACGTGGGCGAGTCCAGCAGTGTCAGCCATAGCAAACACCAAGTCGTCAACGTACAGGAGGATGTAGAACGGCGGCAGCAAAGTGTCGGTGCGAAGAAACAGCGACGGGTCAGCAGTGGAAGGAGCAAACCCAAGAGCCGCAAGCGTAGTCCTCAGTGTGTCGTGCCACTCACGTGGCGCCTGGCGGAGACCGTAGACTGGCCGCCGGAGGCTCCACTGGGTACCAGGAGGAAACGACCCAGTGAAGCCAGGTGGGCGGCGCAGCCAGATCTCCTCGTGCAGACTGCCCTGTAGGAAAGCAGTGCTGAAGTCAAGGGAGTGAAGCTCGTAGTCATGCTGAGCAGCAACGTGCAGCAGAACCCGAAGAGTGGTCATCTTCGGGGTCGGGGAGAAGGTCTGAAAGTAGTCAACTCCCTGCCGCTGACTGAAGCCTCGAGCCACGTAACGCGCCTTGAAGACAGGCGGAGAACCCGGCAGCCGCTTCACCCTGAAAATCCACATGCCACTGACGATGTTCGCCCCAGGTGGGGGAACCTCGTCGACGTAGGTGCCTGTGGACTTCCAGGAAGCCATCTCTGCGTCCATGGATGCTTGCCACTGAGAGGAGTAAGGACCCTCTATCGCCTCTGCGTAAGAGCGCGGGGTCGGGATGTCTGGTGCATCCGGGTCTCCCTCAGGGGCAAGCAGCGTGGACACGAGATGAGGTAAAGCAGCAGCAAAACACTGGAACTGCTCCTGTTGGTCCTCAAGGACGTCCGTGCTAAGAGCACACTCACCCCCGACGGACGGAGGACAGACAGACGCAGACGCAGACTCAGCAACAAGACTAGCGGCGTAGTCTAGACGACAGTGAGCAGCGAAGTCGACAAGCTCGGTAACTAAGGCAGACGCAGCAGTGGACTCAAAGGAAGGGTCAGTGACAACAGTGGCTAGGAAACGCGTGACAGTAGGACTGGCAGCACGACGGGAGTCAGACGCCGGGTCAGCAAGAGCAGGAAGAGAGGACTCTGGAGGAGACGGCAAAGGGACACGCTGTGGCGCAGTGGAAGGACGCAGTGCCATCTGATGCGTGCCCGGGACTGCAGGAGGACGCGGACGTGGAACACGACGACTAGTGCGAGCAGTGCGAACAGGCGACGCAGGACGCGACTCAGGCTCACGACGCTCAGCAAGACCTCCAGTAGGACCAGCGTAGGGAGAAGGAGCAGGCAGAGGGGAGACCAGCTGTAACTGTGACTCGGACTGGACAGGCGGAGGACACTCTAAGGAAGGAGCAGGACTAGGAGAAGGCGGAAGACCAAGAACCTGCTCAAGGAGCGGAACGAAGTTCGGCCGCGGCCGCGCAGCACCTCCAGAACCAGCAGGGACAACACCAGTACCTCCAGCGTCAGCTCCAACTCCAGCAGCACCACCAGCTCCAGTACCTCCAGCAGCTCCAACTCCAGCACGACCACCAGCAGACACAGCCGCTCCGGCTCCTGTACCTCCAGTAGCACCCACTCCCGCAGCACCACCAGCTCCAGCTCCACCAGTAGCTCCAGCACCAGGAGCACCACCAGGCCCAGCAGCTCCAGTACCTCCAGTACGAGCACCTCCGGGACCCGTGGCTCCAGCACCCCCAGCAGAAGCAGAACCTCCAGTACCGGCTCCAGCAGCACCTCCAGCTCCAGAACCTCCAGCAGCAGCAGAACCTCCAGCACCGGCAGCACCTCCAGCTCCAGCACCACGGCTCCAGCGCCGAGCAAACCACTCGCGCAGCTCCTGTGGAGAGGGAAGCTCCCGCCGGGACAAAGCACCCGAAGGACCGCCAGGTCCAGAACCGACAGGCTCCACACCCCCACTCCCAGCAACCCCAGGCTCAGCACCCCCAGAAGCAGCACCCCCAGGCCCCGCACGCTCAGGCTCAGCACCCCCAGACCCAGCACCCCCAGGCTCCGCACGCTCAGGCTCAGCACCCCCAGACCCAGCACCCCCAGGCTCCGCACGCTCAGGCTCAGCACCCCCAGACGCACCAGAGTCAGCAGCTACCTCGACAGGCTTGACTGCATCTACCTGGGACACACCTGAGGGGGCAGGACCCTGAGGGGGGAGGGGGTCTACCGGGGGGGGACCGGGAGCGAGGAAGAGCGGCGG